GGGTGGCTGTGGCTGGGTTGGGCTGGGCAGCATCTGCTGGGCAGGGACAGGGATCGGGCACGGGACGTGGCCGCGGGGGCGGCGGCACCGGCAGAGCCCGGGTTAACCGGGGGTGTTGGGTTAACTGGGGGTGTCTGGCCATGGGGAAGGGCCGAGGTGACAGAGCTGGGGGTGCTCACCTGGAGAGGAGAAGCTCCTGGGACACCTCAGAGCCCCTTCCAGGGCCTAAAGGGGCTCCAGGAGAGCTGAAGAGGGACTGGGGACAAGGGATGGAGGGACAGGACACAGGGAATGGCTCCCACTGCCAGAGGACAGGGATGGATGAGATATTGGGCAGGAATTGTTTCCTGTGAGGGTGGGCAGGCCCTGGCACAGGGTGCCCAGAGCAGCTGTGGTTGCCCCTGGATTCCTGGCAGTGTCCAGGACCAGGTTAGACAGAGCTTGGAGCATCCTGGGATAGTCCTTGCCCATGGCGAATGTTGGATTGGGATGAGCTTTAAGGTCCCTTCCAACATAAACCATTCCATGAATCCATACTGCAGCATTCCCTATGCCAGCTGTGCTGTGGTGGCTGCCTCATCCTCACCCTGGGCAACCCCATCAATGGGAAGTGCAGGGCAGGGATCATTTCTGGCACTGGGAAAATAAGTTTCCCTAGTTCATAGTTTTCTTTGTCTGGCTCTTTCTGCTGTACCTGGAATCACAGGGCACAACAGATTAATCATGGATTTGTGGTTTAAACCAAAGTTCTTTGTGGGGGAAAAGCTTCTGAGAGTGATCAGGAGTAATTTTCTGTAGATGTTATCCCATACTCAGCTTTATTCTCTTCTCTAGCTGAACAAGCTTTTGGGCAGGGCTTCTGTCTTTCTCAGGATGTTTTTGACTTGGACTGGAGATTTTGGTGTCTTCCAGGCTTGAAATGGGACACTTGACATGTTTTTCTGTGTTACAAACACACATTTCTATGTGTAACTTTCAGAACGACTCCAAAAATTTTAAGAGCCAAATTAAATATATGATGAAATTGAACTGAAAGCCAGCTTGGCTTATTCTGCTGAAAAGTTTTGGTAATTTCATTTTTTTTTCCCCAAAGAAATGTTTATCATAAAGTAATAGTTGCTCCTGTCAACATTCTAATTTTTAAACTCCCCTGGAAAGACAGAATTATTTTTAGTTTTCTAAGCTGTTGCTCTGCTGTATTATTTTAATTGAGCTCTAAAATGTTAGATTGCAGAATTTTTGCCTAAATCCATAGGTGACAACTTTATGGAATGAAAAATGTTAGTTTTTCACTTGCTGTTTAAACCATGACCCCACTTCTGAGTCAGAGTTGTTCAGCTTTAGAGACACTGCTCTTGCTTTAGTTGTTATTCAGCCCAGGCAATGTGACTGCAATTAAATGTGCATCCGAGGAGATGTATGACCTTCTAAATAAGAACATAACTTTTTAGTACCATTTTGCAGAACTCATAACCCCCTAAAGAATTTAAAAGCTCTGTTAACCCGTAACTTCCATTTTTTGCGAGTCTGAACTTTTTTAACAGCGCCCATAACATTCTTTCTATTGAGTTATTCTGATATTTGACTTATAGCTCATTTCAGAAAGTTAATTGAAACATTTCTGAGCCAACAAATGCTGTTGAAGATGGAGCTGTGGTTTTTTTGAGCACATGGGAATTGGCAGGAGCAGGGCAGGCTTTTGTAGGATCAGCCTGTGTCCCTTGTCTGGCTGAGTGCCGTGAGATTCTACATACAAGCACCAAAAATACTCTTTTAAAGCACAGGCAAGGCTGTGTTTGGGTTGTCCCTGTGATTTGTGCTGTCAGGAGAGACACTGCAAATGTTGAAAGAGGCTGCAAAGGCCAGAGTTCAGCACAGCTCTTCAGCAACCCAGTTTAAATATCTAATTTCTATATTAAACAATGTCCCCAAATGTGTTTTGTTTTCCTGGAAGATACCTGTAGCCTTCCAGTAATGAACAGGGATGAAAGTTTAGTACCACATTCTAGATTTCCTCTGAGACATGTCCAGGTGGCTCCTGGGTGTTCCCTCAGGATTTGGCATTTTGGTGGGGTATAAATTGCTGGGTATAAATTGCTTGGCATAAATGTATTCCCAGCCAGTGTGTGTGTGTGTTACAGCAGGGCTGCAGCCTCTTTTGTTCTGCTTTTGCCTGACTGACCTTGTAAAGTGCATCCTGTGCTGCTTTTGTTTGCTGAGAACAGGAACAAGCCACCAGGATGCCAGCATTGCCTCTGGATGAACTCCAGCTGACTGAGAGGGATCCCAAGACAGGGAAGCTGAGAACCTTACCAGCACTGGTGAGCTCTGTTTTACCTGAAAGCCAAACAGACCTTCAATAAATAATTGTCTTATATTGAGGCTTGGTCTGGGGTATGTGAAAGGAATGGCTGGAGCTGTGTCAGGAGGTTTAGGTGCAGATCAGGGCAAGGTTCTTCCCCCAGAGGTGCTGGCACTGCCCAGGCTCCCCAGGGAATGGGCACAGCCCCGAGGCTGCCAGAGCTCCAGGAGCGTTTGGACAGCGCTGCCAGTGATGCCCAGGGTGGGGTTGTTGGGGGGTCTGGGCAGGGACAGGAATGGGGCTGGATGATCCCTGTGGGTCCCTTCCAGCTCAGGACATTCTGTGATTCTGTAAAATTTGTTCAGCCTGCTTGTTAAAGAAGATTTGTTTTTAATGTGTTCAGATAGTTGAGATTTCATTTACTCACCATAAAAAAAACCCAAAACACAAGAACTGAACTTACTGTATTCAACATCTGGAGTAAACTGTGTTTTCCCAGCACAACTCCCTCTCTTGAGTCTGTAACCTCTGCTGCAGTGGAGGGATGCTCAGGGAGTTTTTGCAAGCTCTGCCTCAAGTTTAGCTTTGAGCTGTAACACTGGGATCTATCCCTTCAGCTTGATGAAATCAGAAAATTCAACCCACAGAAACCCTTTTCTCCCAGAAATAAGGCCTGGAGAGAACCTTTTGGGTTTGTTGCAGGAATGGGACTGTTAATGCTGCTCACTCCTGAGAAGCTTTACCCTGAGCATACATGTGGGATGAGGCAGAGCCCAAACCTGCTCCTCATTGGAATTCTCCTTTTAGGGTGGGTGTATTTGGGAAAGGCCTGTTCAGTAACCCTCAGGAAAGGTAGTGAAGTGTTTCTTTCTGTCTTTGATGGTTGTGTCAGTTTGAGTTCATGGAATATTGTGCAAGAACCAGTTCAGAGGAAAAAGAGAGAGTTCAAAGGCATGCCAGGAAGTTCCTGCTCTTTGTTTTGAAGGTGTGGGAGGATTGCTTTGTCAGGCTTTGGTTGAGAGAAAGCAAGGAGCAACATCTGCCAAATTATCAAGGTCAGAAAACGTTGCTCATAAAGAAAGATACAAACCCAGTGCCTTGAAAGGGTAGAAAATGGGAAGTTACCAGGGAATGGAATGCTCCTGTCATCAGGACTATAGTGATAGGACAAGGAGTAATTGGTTCAAACTGAAATTTAGGTTAGGTATTGAGGAGAAATTGTTCCCTTTGAAGGTGGGCAGGCCCTGGCCCAGGCTGCCCAGAGAAGCTGTGGATCCCTGGAAGTGTCCAAGGCCAAGTTGGATGGAGCTTGGGGATAGTGGGAGGTGTCCCTGCCTGTGGCAGGGGTGGAACTGGAGGAGCTTTAAGGTCCCTTCCCATACAAAGCATTCTGTTATTCTGTAATGCCAAGTTGTTTTAAAAGGTAGCTTTTGTGTTTCTTGGAATTCAATGAGCAGAATAACTGGGAATTCCTGTCACTTTAATACAGTGGGGTTTTTTGGCTTTCTGCAGCACCCAGAAATTAAGGCAGATCGGTCATTTGTGCTGTACAAACCCCCTCCTGCCATCAGAGACCCTGCTCTGGTGGAAGAGTTCCTGGAGCGAGCAAAATTCATTGCAGATGACCTGAACTGGCTTCTGGCTTTGCCTCATGACAAATTCTGGTGCCAGGTAATTGTTGCTTTTTATCTGAAGATACAGTGTAAACACCCAGGTGCTTCTAAAAGCCATGGGCTTTACATCATTTTCATAAAGATTTGTTTATGCTTATTATATCATGCAGGAAACATTTTAATTTCCATTACTGCACCTTAGAATGCAAAGAAAATATTTCCCTAAGGATTTTCTATTGTGAATTTTAAGAGTTGGCTTGTATTTAATGGTTATGGGAGTCCTTTTCATATATCTGTGTGGTTTAGATTGCTTTAAATTTAACTGGGCTGCTCAGGAGCACAACCTATGAAGGTGTGACATTCCCTCCTTCCCATTTTACTGCCTTTCCTTGCACCAGGTGATATTTGATGAGACCCTGCAGAAGTGTTTGGATTCCTACCTGCGCTCTGCCCCTCGCAAGTTTGACGCTCTTTGGGATTGCCATCCAGAGGTGAATGAGCTGCAGAAATGCCTCCATCGGAGTGTCTTCCTCACGTTCCTCAGGATGTCCACCCACAAGGAATCCAAGGTAAATATTCTTATGCCTTGCAGGTGCTCCAGGCTGTGTGACTTAGGAAAAAAGAGAATTAGAGAAATGAATCATTTTCCTTCTCACACAACATTCCTCTCCCTGATGATTTTATCAGTTGGATTCAGTGTGGAGATAACACTCAGAGCTGAAGTATCTGAACTTGATCCATGTGTAGTGGTTGGATATGTCATGGAAAGAGGAGAGAGAGCGCATTGGCCTTTGTGTTGCCACACGAAACAGGCTCTTCAGGCCACCAGTTCCCGAGCATTCACTCCCTCAGGGCCACGTGGTCCCACAAAATTCCTGCTAATGCTTATCTCTCCTTGAGCTTGCCCCAAGTTTTGGACATACAGTGAAATTGCTCTAAATTGCTGTTATCTTGGCATCATCAGGCATTCAGCCTGGAGAAGAGAAGGCTCCAGGGACACCTCAGAGCCCCTTCCAGTGTCCAAAGGGGCTCCAGGAGATCTGGAGAGGAATGTGGTACAAGAGATGGAGGGACAGGACACAGGGAATGGCTCCCAGTGCCAGAGGGCAGGGATGGATGGGAAGAAATTGTTCCCTGGGAGAGTGGGGAGGCCCTGGCACAGGGTGCTCAGAGAAGATGGCCATCCCTGGGAGTGTCCAAGGCCAGGCTGGATGGGGCTTGGAGCAGCCTTGGCTAGTGGAAGATGTTCCTGCCCATGGCAGGAGGTGGCACTGGATGGGCTTTAAGGTCCCTTCCCACCCAAGGCATTCTGAGATTCTATAATTAAGATATCCTCAGCGCTAATTGTGTGAGTGCAACGCCCATCTGGCTGTGGGATTTTCACCAGGCCTTTGGGCAAGAGGAGTGAGGCACCTTGTGTTTTAGCAATCACTCCTGGATCTCCTCATTGCTTCATGATGTGTTAGAGCTGTGTTGGTTCTCTTGCTTATCACAATGGTGATGTTCAGGATGTTTTGAGCAAAAGGCCTGGGAGTGGGGACTGGGACAGGAGCAGGGGGAAGGAATGCTGGAGCCTGCAGCTGGCACCACTTCAGCAGAAGTACCTGACACCTCTGTGGTGTCTTTCATTGCAGGATCTGATTAAACCTCAGCACTCCAAGAGGCAGGCGAGCATTTGAAACCATTTTCTAGTTGAGTGATCTGCAGGGAATGAATAGTCTGTTGTCATGCAGGAATCAGCAGGAGTTCTGGGAATGGAACCTGGCCAGCCCTGAGCCCCATCCCTCTGCTTCAACAGGGAGAATGTGCCCTGCCTTTCACTGGGACTGAAAACATTTGCTGTCAATGCAAAGCCCAGGCAAACTGGGCTTCTGAAAATCCAAAATCACATTTCAGCTGCCTGTTTCTCAGTGTCAGACAATGGAATTTTTCTCATCTAGATTTTTGTAATAAATACTTTCAGCGTGGTGAGTTTTTGGCACAGTGTTCAGCAGTCAGCATGTAGAGCTGCAGTTCTGGGGTTTCTCCCTGCCTGTCCCTGATTCTGTGGTCTCTGGTGCTGGGTTCTGCTCTCCCAGGGTACAAGAACTTCAGGCTGTCCCTGTGCCTGGTCCTGAGCTGAGCTGTTCTGGTGTCGAGCTGGGGCCTGTAGGGAGATTTTTTGTAAAACTTTTAGATAGATTAATTAATCTTCCAGTGAATGGATCACTGGGGTGCCTGGTGTGGCAGGGACAGGAATGTGGGAATAGATGGTTCCACTGTTCTGTGAAGCTGTTTCAAGCAGAGTTGCTGCCTTCTATGAAATAAAATTCCTTAATACACCTTTGAGAGATGTTTTTACAGGTGTCATTATAATGCTGGAGTTACTGCAGACAAGATACGGATTATCCTTTAAATTCTTTTTTTTTTTCTGTCTTTGTAGGATCATTTTATCACTCCCTCTGTCTTTGGAAAAATTATTTACAATAACTTCCTGTTTGATATCCCCAAGATTCTGGATCTCTGTGTCCTTTTTGGGAAAGGAAATGGCCTCCTGCTCCAGAAGATGATTGGTCAGTAAAAGCTAAGGAGCAACTTGCTACATTTAAGCTTTTGCTTGTATGACGAGTGACTTAGTAAGGTCTATACCAGTGGAACTGCTCTGAAAATTAATAGTTCAGTAGCATTTCTAAATCAGATTGTGCTTTTCTTTTCCCATATGCACTTTAGTTGTTCCAAGGAAGACTTTATGTCCTGCTTTGCTGCCCTGAGCTAGGCATTGTTGGGCATAAGCCCACGCTCAGTTGTTTCCTGTGGCAATTGAATGTGTCCTCAGCCCTTGTAAGAGGAATGTGGGGCTCTGTAAAACCCTGGTAGAGGTGGGAAAGGGTGAGGAGGGAGGAGGGTTGGGAGATGGGCACAGTCCAGCTGTGAGTGCTGATGTTCCCAGAGCTGGGAGCCAAGTGAAACATTCAGTGTGAGGTAATCACTGCTGTGGGAAATGGGAGAACCTGAAACTTCAGTGCAGACATTGATGTATCCAGAGCATCCAAACCACAAACACTTCAGAGCCTTTCTCAAGCTGTGCTTATCCCTGGATTTCTGTGTCAGTACACACAAACTTAGTGGTGAGTACACAGGGAGAAACATCCAGCCATGGATGTTGAGGAGTGAAGATGGAGCATATTGATTTAGCTTCTCTGTTTATCCTGTGCTCCCTTCCCAATCCTGTGATCTTTAACATCACCTGAGCACCTGAGTGGAAGAATATCTACCCTTGGATTAAGTGAGCCCTTCCTGAATTCTAACACACTTTGTCTGCAGCTCGTGGGATGAAGGTTTTCCATTTCTTTGGTCTCATTTTCAAGTTCACAAACATGAGAAGTGTTAGAGATCATGTGGTGCAGACAGATTTCCAGCCAGAAAATCATAGATAAATCTTTGCATTTTTAATCTTTTTACCCTTTTTCAGTAGCTTCTACTCTAAATTCCTCTGTGGAGCCTCAGACAAGGAAAGCAGGCATGGCAAGATAGATGCTTCCCTTTCAGATCCAAAGCTTAGATTATCTGGGTCTTAAAATATTCCAAAAAATACCTAAATAATGAAACCTCCTTTGAATTCCACTCTGGAGTTCCACACAATCATGCTGCATGCGAGTGACCAAGAATTTGCTCACCTGATTATTTCATTATGTTGTGACAGTAATGGCATGAGCAGTTCTGGTGTGTAATTCATAACTTCATAAACGTGAGGTTCTTCTCAGGGTATAAATTTATCTGAAACTTGTCTCATAGCTCTGTCCTTGCTGGAGAACTCTTAATTTTCATAATCTGAACAGTAATTCCCAGGAAAACAGGAGCCTTGGTGCTTACTTGGTGAGGATTTATGGTATGGCATAACTCAGTGGAGTATTTTGTAAAGATAATGGAGTCCTGGTAATATAATAGCAGGTTTTACTAAAGCCTCATTACCTTTAAGAAATATTCGGCAGCACATCTCCTGGTGTGTGCTGAACTGTTATCAGTAATTAAAAGTCAACTCCAGTTGTCAAATAAAGGAACTGGGGTTGTTCAGTGATAGTATTTGCATTATTCATTGATTCAGCCCCTGGAGCGTGAATCATCTGACATCTCATTTGCTCTGCTCTGATGAGCATATTCCCATTGCTGGATCTCCAGTGGCATTGGAGAGCTGATGGATCAGCTTTTGTGGGAGCAGGGCCTGTACATGAGCTGAGGAGTGAGGGTGGGCTGTGTCCCACATGGGCAGTACGTGTGTCTGGGGGGTGTCAGCAATGACTCCAGTATTTTCTGGTGCAAATTTGCTCCTTGACATCCATGTCTGAACTGATGGAAATGCTCTCCTTTCCCTCTTCAGGAAATATCTTCACTCAGCAGCCCAGTTACTTCAGTGACCTTGATGAAACTCTGCCCACTGTCCTCCAGGTACTGCTTTCCTGCTGGGATTTCATATGGAAATGTGGCATAGCTTGGGGAGTGAAAAGGGAACATTGTAGGCAGGCAGAATGGATTTCATGAAATCATGGAATATCCTGAGTTGGAACGGACCCACAAGGATCTTCAAGCCTGCACAGACACCCCAACAATTCCACTCATTGTCCAAACACTCCTTGAGCTCTGACCACCTTCTAGGGAAAGAACTTTCCCTGATATCCAGCCTAAACCTCCCCTGACTGCTGTTTCTCCCTTTCCCTAGTTTGTTAATGTGTGTCAGGGAGGTTTAGAACCTTTATCTAAAATTATTACTTGATGACTCTTCCCTCCCACCTCCCTTCAGCTTCTTGCCTTCTCTGCTGTGTCCCACTGCTGACTCCTGTCTGTTAACACTGCCCTGTTCTCCTGATTTAGGTGTTCAACAATATTTTGCACAAGTGTGGTTTGCAGTGTGAAGGGGCCTGTGCTGAGCCCCAGAAACTGGAAGAGAAAGTCAGTGTGACTGCAGGGAACATGCCCCTCCAGGTAGGACTGAGCTCTCTGTACTCCTGCACACCGCACAGACCAGAGGATCATTCTGTTCCCAAAAGCTCCTACAGCTCGTGGTTCTGTGCCATTGTTGCAATCTTTGTCCTGGGACAGGATGATAAAACCTTTCCACCATGAGCTGATTCATTTCAACCATATCCTTTGGAATGTGGATACTTTTAAACCTGGAAACTGTTTTGCTTAACAAGCTTGTAAATAATGTAACACAATATCTGACAGAAGTCTCCACTTAACCCTGGCAGTGATAAGAGCTGATTTTTTTTCTTCAGAAATGTGTGCAATTTAACTGAAGTTAATTAAGAGGGATTTATTTGCTGGGGGCTGTACAAAGACAGTGGATGTGGTCCTCTACAAAAGCTTAGTTTTTCCGTTTGTGTGTGGGAACAAACTGTCAGTTCAGACTATGATTTATTGACTAATGTTAGTTTGAATCTATCATTTAGTGTGTCATTCAGTTTGTTTCAGCTACCTCAGTAATGCAGCTTGCACTGGGTCAGACTGCTGAAAACATTCCTTTGATTCCAGTTTTTCTGCCATGCAGGGCTGCATGGGGAAGAATTCCATTTGTGTGGAGGGTGTATTGAGGGCAAAGCCACTGTCCAGAGCAGGACCTGATGAGGATTCTTGTAATCTTACAGGATCCTCACTGGAAGCAGACAGATGGGATTGCGTTATACATCTTTTACAGGACAGGAGTTTTAGGAGAAATGTTGTCTTTATGGTTGATAGAGACTCTGCAGTCAGGAAGAGGCCTGGCCCCAGCGTTCTGTGTCCCTGCTGGGAAAACTTGCCTGGCTCTTCCCTCAGTAGCTGCTTTTTCCCTCTCAGGAGCTGAAGGACATTGTGCTGTATTTATGTGATACCTGCACAACTCTCTGGGCTTTTCTTGATGTCTTTCCCTTGGCTTGCCAGACCTTCCAAAAACACGAGTTTTGTTACAGGTAAGTCTTGGAGTGCAGACAGAGCTTGTCCTGGCCATGTAAAAGTACTGAATGTGCTACTGTGTCCTGTCCCATTGTTAAATGAGGAGACAGATGGAATGCAGAGGCTGCTGCGTTCTCTCTGACAGGAATGCAGCATAATAAATACATGGATATAGGGATGTGTGGATTTTCTGTTCTATATGTGTCATTATCTGGGAGTGATCCTAGAGCCAGGCATCCATGACAGTTTCCAAAGTCAGCTGAACACTACTTGGTGTGCTCTGGGAAGGGTGGAGAGGGATGAGTTATGGACAAAAAGAACTTCCTGCTGTAGGACCCAAAGCAAGGGAAGCAGAAAATATTTCAGAGAAACACTTCTTCACAGTCTGCAAACAAATGTCTTTGATGTTATGCCCAAGTTTTATGCTAGAGAGTATCAGTGAGGTTTGGCAAAAGCTAGGTGGCTGGGAGAGGGTGACAAGGCATGAGAGGGAATGGCCTCAGGTTGTGCCAGGGGAGGTTCAGGCTGGGTATTAGGGAACATTTCCTCATGGAACTGGCTGTCCAGCCCTGGCACAGCTGTCCTGGGCAGCAGAGTCCCCATCCCTGGAGGGATTTAGCAGCCAGCTGGATGTGGCACTTGGGGACATGGTCTGTGGTGGCCTTGGCAGTGCTGGGCAGTGGTTGGGCTCAGTGATTTCAGGGGCCTTTTCCAACATGAAGGTTTCTGTGATTCTGTAAGTGTTGGGTCTTTGCAGGCTGCAGATCTGTGTTGGGAGATTTTCTGGGTTGAGCAGATGGTTCTGATTAGCACCAGGATGCTTCTCAAATGCTTTTCTTTCCTACCTCCTCAAAGACCTCTCTGTGATTTCCTTAAAGTGCTGCTCTTTTTCTGTGGTGTGTTTACTTGTGTTTTGGGGCAAAAATACCAAAATGAGGTGATGTTCATGGGTACTACTGGTGAGGAGGGTTTAATGAAATCAGCCATTTCTTCTGCCTTTTAGCAAATGATTTTTGGAACTTCAGCTGACAGGTACAGGTTTGTTCCCCCTTTGTACAGATTAGCTTCATTTTATGAGCTGGCAATTCCTGAGCTGGAATCTGCAATCAAGAAGAGGCATTATGAAGATAACAGGTGAGAATTCATGCAAAGGCTTCCAGTGAGACTTCCCAGGGCTTAGTTAAAAATTCACTTTGTGCTGTTTTACCTATCTCTGAGGAGTCTGGCTTTTTTTATGCTGCTCTGAGGAGATGACTTCTGTAATTCCAAATTTTCCTGGTCAGTAGGATGACAAATCATTTTTAGTGCTGTGTAAGAAGGAATTTGATGGGAGGTGTATTCAAATTGTAGCAAAGTATGAGACCATGAATGATATCTCTGTGTACTCAGTCTCTCTGTAAGGCACAGGCTGTGCTGGTACAGTGGGGGCCTCGTGTGGGAAGCCGCCAGGACAATTGGGATTAAAACCAGCTTTATTTGGAGCGTGTATTTTTCTTAATGACCATGAAATGTGACTAATATCTGCTCTTTGCAGCAAGAAAATTATTCTCCTAATGAAATTCTCCTTCTAGAAGATTAACTCTGGCATAAAGGTGCGTTACAGATTCTTGTGCTGACACCAACAGTGTCTTTTGCTCTCTCTGAAGTGTTTTTGCTGATTTGTGGAGGAGGATTTCACACTCCAGAAAGAAGATGATAGAAGTTTTTCACATCCTAATAAACCAAGTCTGTCTGCAGCCCATCCTGGAGAGCAGGTATTGGCACTTGGCTCTGTGCTACTCGCCAATTACTTGATTGTGTGGGAGAAATTGTTTCTCATTTACAAATTTACTGGAGAAAAAGAACAGAAACTGCTATTTGTGTTGGGATTGTAGCCAAAGACTTGGCTAAGGTCAAATTCTCTTGTCCTGTGTATCAGGAATGTTCCAGATGGAGCTGTTTGGTCCAGAGTCTTTCTGGTGAGCTGGGTTCAGTGAGCTTTCTGACCCCAGCGTGTGGCTTGTGCAAACTTTGATCCTGTATAACACCTTGAGACCTGATTGGAACCCTCCAGGACCTGGAAGGGCCATCAATACAGATGGAGAGAGACTGTTTACAGGGGCTTGGAGTGACAGGACAAGGGGGAATGGCTTCCCACAGACAGAGAGCAGGGATGTTGGGAAGGAATTGTTCTTGTGAGGGTTGGGAGGCCCTGGCACAGGGTGCCCAGAGAAGCTGGCCATCCCTGGAAGTGTCCAAGTCCACTTGGATGGGGCTTGGAGCAACCTGGGATAATGGAAGGTGTCCCTGCCTATGGCAGGGGATAGAACTGGATGGGCTTTAAGGTCCCTCCCCACTCAAAGGTGCCTTGGAACAAGACTTGGAGCCTCAGCAGCACCCAGGGGTTTGGGCACTGAGGCTGCAATGGGAGTTTGCTTGGCAGGTGTTCTTGCACAGGTGAGCAGAAGCTTTCTGGAAAGTTCACTGCTGTAATCCCAAGACATCATAAAGGCACAATTACAGGAGCTCTACACACCCTTTTCTGTTCACTGCAAGTCTGAGGCATCAAACTATTTGTAAAGTCTGTCTGAAAACTTGTAATTCTAGGTGTGATTCAGCTTTAGATCTAAGTGCTGAAATATTTGCTGAAGCCACTTTGTTCCATTTGATTCTTTGCTCCTGCTAAAGTCAAATATCTTTTCAAATGAGGCTTTCCCTTGGTGTAAATTGGAATGGTTTGGCTGGTGGGGCCAAATGTTGGCAGACTTACCTCTGAGTGTTCACTGTGCTGTATTTCCTGCAGCTGTGAGAATATTCAGCCATTTATTGAGGAATTTCTGCAGATCTTCACCTCGGTGCTTCAGGAAAGGAGGTGAGTATGGCTGGCAAGAGGCCCAAGGGGGGCTCAGCTCCTTCCTCTGCCATTCTTTACAGCAGAATTGCCTGAGGCAGCATTATGAGGCATTTGGGAGTCAGAAATCGTTGTAAGTAGTTGGGAGAAGTGAAGTGAGAGGCTTTCAGCCTGCAGCACAGACCCTGGCACTGAGAAATGCTATTCTTCACTCCCTTTAATCTAGCTTCTCAAAGAGGAGAAGAGCAATTTAGCCATTAGCTCCCTTGACAAGTTAGGCTGTTATTGCTGATCTGTGCTTTCCAGCTGGGCTGACCAGACCAGAAAAATATTAAACACTAATGCTGAAGATGCAAAGGAAGTGACAGAACTGGGAATTCCATCTTGTCCTCCTGCCCATGCTGGCATTCTGAGCATGTTCACATGGTAAAGCAGATTTTCCCTGTAATGCAGCACTGGGTTCCAGCCCTTATACCTGAGGAGTCCTGCTGTGATGTAGTGGGACCAAAATCAGGCATAGCTGTAATCCAGCATTGGGTAAGAGGTTCTCTGTTCCTACCTGAGCACTGAGGCAGTCAGAGAGGCACAGTAGTGGTAATTAGTTGAGCTCCACTGATTAAACTTGCTCCTGTGTCTTCAGATTTCTCCGTGACTACGATGAGCTGTTCCCTGTTGAGGATGATGTGAGTCTGCTCCAGCAGGCATCTTCTGCACTGTATCCTTGGGCTTTGCACACCTGACTGCTCTTGGATTCCTTCACACCACTGACATTTCTGCCTCTGCTTAAACTGCATGACTGGCAAGGAGTACTGGAAAGTTTTCCCTTAACAGAAAAAACAAAAAGGAGAGGGGGGATTTGTTGCCCAGAGAAGCTGAGGCTGCCCTGTCCCTGGAAGTGTCCAAGGCCAGGCTGGACAGGGCTTGGAGCACCCTGGTCTAATGGAAGGTGTACTTGCCCATGGCAGGGGGTGGGTCAAGATGAGCTTTAAGGTCACTTCCCACCCAAACCATTCTGTGGTTTTGTGAGTGTTGATGCAGGCACAAGTTTGGACATCACTGAAAATCCCGTAGTTTTGTCAAGGTGATCCCTGAACATGTGCATGCAGGAATGTCCTTAATGCTGTGCTCTTAGAGACGAGACCAGGACAGCCTATATCCTCCAAGCAGTGGAAAGTGCCTGGGAAGGGGTAGACAGGAAAAAAGGACAAGCTGTTAAAGATCCAGCAGTGTCAAACGGAGCTTCAGCACTAGTGGAGAGCACCCCTGAGGACGGGGAGCACCCACGGGCTGCATGTGCCCTGGAGGATGAGGTGGGTACAGCTCTGTGGTGGGACTGGGCTCTGCTCTTCCTGGGGGCTCTGCTCTTCCTGGCCTTCCTCTGTCTGTGAGGACAAGCTTGATTTGCTCAGCTTTGGGGACAACATGAGATTTGGTGTAATTTCTGACCTTTGCTGGATCTCCATGCAGCCTTGGGAAATGAGAACTGAAGGTACACCTGAATCCTGAGTTATCTCTGAGCAAATTGCTTCCAGCTCCCATGGCTTGGGTTTTCCCTTGCTGGGGATTATTCAAATACTCTGCTTCATCCCTGCAGTTCATGTGCATATTTTTGAAATGCAGAGCTCGCCTGTTATTTGATGAAGGGATTCTCGAGGGTGTCCTTGCTGACTCAGGGACTGGCAAAAGTAGCTGTGTGGGAAACCTTGTGTAGTATAAACTGCTGATTTCTCTTTTGGCTCCAGTACTGGACTTGTGTGTTTAAATCCTGACAGCCCATAGTGCTGCTTTCCCTGTATTTCTGTGCACACTGTCTGTCCCCAGCTCTGTCCCTGCCCAGTGCCTACCAGTTGTGTTTGGTGTCCGCAGTGTGCCGGCGCTGCGGCTGCACCCATCGCCTGCGTGTCCGGTGTGGAGCTGGAATCCCTCATCTCCCAAGTGAAGGATCTGCTGCCAGACCTTGGAGAGGGATTCATCCTGGCCTGCCTGGAGGAGTATGGATATGACACAGAGCAGGTGATCAACAACATCCTGGAAGATAAGCTGGTGCCATACCTGGATAAGCTGGACCGAAGGATGCAAAGGTGTGGGACAACCTCTGGTTGTTTCTGTCTCACTTAATTGTCCTCGTTGAAGCCTCAACACTTGCAGAGCTCTAAGAATTTGCATATTTGGGGTAGAGAACTGCAGTGAGAGTTTCTCATTGTCACTTGTCACCAGTTTTCTGTCCTCCTTGTGTCCCTGCAGAGGACTGGGACCTTTGCTGCTCAGTGTTGGAGTAGAGCAGGTGCTGGGTTGTGTTTTGTGACAAAACCACTTGGAGTGGAATGGAATAGAATAGAATAGAATAGGTTACCTTCAAAAGTTATTTTGCTGCAATGTTTGTTGTCACAGGTGTGAAAATCCCAGCTGTCCTGCAGGAAAGGGCATCTTCAGAGAAGCCAATTCAGCTGGAATTCAATCCACAGGGTCAGATATGGTTATTTAACAGGCTGCTGTTTTGTGAGTGAAGATATGACAATTCAGATCCATTTTTATGTTCCCTCTGACAAACTTGCCAGGCTTGTCCTGCTTTCCTGGATTGGACAAGGGATGGAGGGTTTATAGCTGGTGGCAGGATTGAGTTGTTGGAGTTTGTCTGCAGCTGTGAGTGTGTGTTTGTGCTGCACCAGCAGTTCCTGACGGAGCATCAGGATGTGAATGTGCTGTTTGTTCACATTTCATGGAGTTATGGGCAGACTGTTGCATTAAAGGAAAGCATCTTTATCGGAAAAATGATGTAAAAAAATCTTAGTTTTGCAACAATCTTTGTGTTCCCACAGTCGGATCTGCTGACTTCGGCACAACTGGTGCAGGACGGGCTTTAGGAAGGATTGGTTTTCTGCACAGCCAGCAGTTCCACAAGATAGAGCTGGATTTTTTTCTTCCTGCCTTTTGCATCTTGAAACAAAGCTGCTGGTTCGATAGGAAATGTCGAATTCTGACCCCTGCTGATTTATGGGGGAGCACAGCAGCATTTGCAGATGCCCAGCTGAGCTGTATGCACCACCAAAATGAATGTCAAAAGTACAGTCTTTTGACTTACAGGTCGAACAAAAATAAACCTGGAACCCTGAGAAAGATTTAACAAGGGAGATAAATATCTTGAAATCAGCAGCAACAAATTATTGGATTGTTTCCCCTCAAATCCAAGCTTTGGGAAGTGCTGTGCTTGTGCTGGAGCATGGCTGGGAAGGGAAGAGGCTGTGCCCTGTGACTCAGCCAGCACCTCTTGGTACTCTCAGGATCGTTTTGGGACTGAGAAGGGATAAACCAAGGGCTAAGAGAAGGGAGAGGATTTCTCTTCCTCACTTCACTTTTGTTTTTATTCTCTCTCTTTGTTTTTTAACAGACAGCTGAAGCCAGATCCTACCCCTCTGGTCAGCTCTCGCTGTAACGTTTTCCAGAATGATGAGTTTGATGTTTTCAGTAGGGATGCAGTGGATGTGTCTCGGATCCAGAAAGGCAAGAGGTGAGTTGCCACCCAGTCATTAACTCTGCCTGTCAGGAGGAACAAACACCTGGGAACCTGCAAGTTTATCTCTCCTAAAAACCTCCTGCAGGAATGTTTTGGCAGGGGGGGAGGCTTATCAAAAATGTTTCCCACCTGTCTGTCTGGGGAAGTAAAATGAAATATTTTGAGGGGGTTGGTTTCACTTAGTGTTTTTCCTAATGGGCTTTCCTGTGTCTGCTGCTGGAGATTGCTTTTCCAACCTCATTTGTAATGTCAGGTTCTTGCTCCTTGGGCTTAATGTTAAACTTGCAATGAACAACAAACCTTGAAAAGCACCATCCCTGAGCCTGGGATTGTGACTCAGAGCTGAGAATAGCTAATGATTTGATTTAGAGCCAAGGGAAGATTCAGTATCCATCTACTTCAACATCTGATAACATTCAGTGCCTTTAGATTACTTCTGTTGTTCCTGCTGCTGTAGAGCTTCCTGCAGAAGGGCACTTGGACTGGTGGAGTAGTTTGGGTTGGGAGGGACCTTTAAAGGTCATTTAGTCAATCTGCCTGCAATGAGCAGAGATGCCTACAAAACCCCACCAGTTTTCACTTTGCTTTCTGCCTTGCTGGGTGTGTGGTGCTGGCTCCCAGTGATGTCAACTCAATAGTGTGGTTCCCTTGCTCCAGTTTCTTTTAAAACATATCACAGAATCATGGAATGGTTTGGATTGGAAGGGACCTTAAAGCTCATCTGGTTCCACCCCCTGCCATGGGCAGGGACACCTTCCTCTAGACTTTTAACACCTCCTCTGACCAGCCAGATGTGATCTTAATGTTGGGATGTATTTACACAGCAGATAACTAAAACTGGCTGGAGTTGGAGCCATGTGGCCTAAGAGCTCCCGGTTAAGGTTTTGGTTGCAAAGTTGCGTCAAACTCTAGGAGAAAACCTTTTGTCCCCAAGTCCAGTGGCCCAGCTCCTCAGAGCAGTGCCACAGTGCACTGAGCAAGAAAGGAATTGCTTTTCTCTCTGGCCAGGGTCATGGCTTCTGTTGTGTCCATAGCTGAGAATTAACAGACAGAACCTTTCTCCTCATGGCGGTGCCTTGCTCTGAGAGACAGGTGCATTGTACAGATGTTCTGGCTTATCCCTGATTCCCAGAGCCTTACACAGATGTGCTGGGTTATCCCTGTTCCCCAAAGCCTTGCTGCAGCAGCTGGTCAAGGCCAGAGAGCACCGAGTTCAGCACAGAGCATCCAGTGGCTGGAATATCCTGCTCAGAGCTCCCTCTGCAGCTCACTTGGAGAGCTCTGGAAGCTGTAAATCATCCCTGAGCTGGGCTCTGGGATCTGCTCCCATGGCACTGCCCACCAGGGGTGCCTTCTCTCCAGGGGTACCATCACTCCTGGAGAAGTTCTCCTCTCTTCTGCTGTAGCTATGTGACCTCTTGGGACTGTCATCTTGTTGCTGCTCTTCCTGGTGTTGTTTGCCTCTCTTCATTTCAGAACATTTGGGAAAACTTTGCAGGACTCCAGACATATTAGTTGTGGTTTGAGTAGTTTAAAACCTGGAGATCAGCAATGGCCAAAGATGACCAACTGAATCTAAGGAAAAGCTGCAGTACCTTGTCTTCAGGATTTAATATTCAGCACTGATGATTCACCCCAGTGTTGGGGTAACAGGGCTCTTCAAGCCCAGTCTGAGAACTGCTTTGGATTTGAATTGTATCAAATCTTTAATTTTTTTTCTCCTTCTAAATACCTTTTGCTCACCAAATTCTCTTGTGTTCAGGGTGCTGTTGTCTGGTGTCACCACAGTGCCTAAAGAGCCAGAGCAGGTTGTTCTGGCCACTCTCAGCACCAGAGCTTGGGGCAGGGACTGTCCTTGAGAAAGAGAAATCCAGCCAGGATGAGGAGGGAATCAAACACAAGGAAATGAATGTGCTAACATAGACTCTGCTGATCCTGAAAAGTGATGCCACTTGTCTACGCCTGTCCAGCCCTAGCTGTCAGCTGAATCTGTCTCCTGAAGCCAGAGCATGTCCTGAGCTCCATGAGACCAGAGGAGCTATCCCACTGTTTTTCCTGGGATTGGTGCCCAGACCGTTTAATGCAGCTCCTCTGCAGTCATCAGACCAGCTGGACAGGAAGCAATCACCAGGTGCTAGGTTCACCCTCAGCTGAATTCCCACAGGAGGTGTTATCCCAAGGATCCCAGCCTGGGTGAGCTCACCACGGCGGTGAGTCATGGCAGAGATGACCACCTCCAGCTGTAAACTTCCTTTGTTTTGAGATTCTGAATGAAAACCTGGGCTGCTGGATCACACCCCCTCAGTCTGTCCCTTCCTGAGTCACTGCCACTGCCTTGGACAGGTCCTTTCTCTGATAAAATCCACTGATGCTGGATTCTCCTGGACTCTGGGGGCTGCAGGTTGTCTTGGGAATGCTGGACAGCAGAATCCCCTGTTGCTGTGCTGTAAATATGTACTTGTCTGGTCTGAGAAATGGGACTTCAGAGCTTGTGCAGCTTGAGACACTCAGTAGCTGCTTTTTAATCCCTCTGTTGGTCTTTCCTTCTTTAAAATGACTATAATTTACTAGCCTTCTAAATTTAAAGAACAAGCCCTTGCAGCTCTCCAAGAGGTTGAATCACAATCACTCTCTGCTGTTTTGTTCTTTGTCTTGGGAGTTGTGTTTATTCTCATCCTCACCTGCTTATCCTCACTGGTTATTTTTTGGATCTCCCCATCTACATTTGTCCTTCTCCCCTCACATTTGTGCTCCATGCACCTTGGCCAAGTTTCATCTGGAACAGAATTGCATTTGGCCTCCTGTGAAAGTTTCCTGAAAGCTGTCTGAAGTGATAGTGGTGGTCTCCAATTCCTGCTCTGTTTTAGTGGCCAAGCAGCCCTGGTACAAATGACCCACCCTGGATCACACCATCCAGCCCTGGGGCCCGGCACAGGAAGGAGCTGGAGCTGCTGGAGTGAGACCGGAGGAGACACCAGGATGGTCAGAGGGATGGGGCAGCTCTGCTGTGTGGAAATGCTGGGAGAATTAGAATTGTCCAGCCTGAAGAGAAAGCTCTGAGATGACCTAATTGTGACCTTCCAGGACCTGAAGGGTCTGACAAGAAAGATGGAAGAGAGACTGTTTGCAAGGGCTTGGAGTGACAGGACACAGGGGAATGGCTCCCACTGCCAGAGGGCAGGGATGGATGGGATATTGGGCAGGAATTGTTCCCTGTGAGGGCACAGGGTGCCCAGAGCAGCTGGGGCTGCCCCTGGATCCCTGGCAGTGCCCAAGGCCAGGCTGGACAGGACTTGGAGCAGCCTGGGCTTGTGGAAGGTGTGAGGATGGAATAAGATGAGCTTTAAGATCCCTCCCTGTCCAAACCATTCCATGATTGTATAAACCAGCAGGCCAATAGGTGGGGCCTGTGGCACTGGGCATGGGATTTGCATTGCTTCACATTCCCTGTTTAGACTAACGGGGGAAAAGCAGCTTCAAGGGAAGGTTTTGACCCCTGCCTTTTCCTCCCCTGTTCCCGGGCAGGAGGGAGAAGGACACGACCCGGAGCTTGGTGAATGACAAGCGGCTGGTGACAGAGCAGAGGGAGCGCTACAGCCAGTACAGCGTGGTGCTGGAGGAGCTGCCCCTGGAGCCGGGTGCAGCACAGCACTACGAGGACTACGAGGATGAGTACGACGACACCTACGATGGGAACCAAGTGGGCGCTAACGACGCTGACTCGGATGACGAGCTCATCTCCAGGAGGTGAATGCTGAGCAGAGCAGGAGGGAGAGAGCCACGGGAGAATTCTCTGGCTCCCACAAACCTGGGAAATGCTGGGCTCTGTTCCTCTATGAGAGCTTCAAACCACCCCTTCTATCTGTTTTCACTGTGATGTTCAAGGAGGAAGGTTTGGTTCTTCCTTCTCCTGTGGATAGGGAGTGTTCCCATACCAGACTATTCCTTGAACACAAAATGATTGCAGCCTTGAGGCAAAGAACCTCAATGGAAAGTGGCTGTACATAAATACAAACTCAATTCCTAGCCAAACAATTCCTAAACTTCAAGAATGTGTTACTTAGGAAAACAGTGTGCCCAGGATGTTCTCCAGCTTCCACTTGGCCATTGCCTCAATTAATCAGCAAATCCAAGAGGGGAATTTGCCGTGTGTGGAAACTTGTACTCAGCAGAGCTTCTCCTTAGAGAAATTATCCTGCAGCAGGGAAAAAGGGCTTGGAAAAACAGTGGGACTGGGCAACCTAAAATGGTTGGTTAGCAAAGGAAAACTTCAAAATTTGGGAAATTTTACAGCCAGACTTTTCCCTGCCAATCCCCTCTGAGTGCTGACAGCTGGAATTGAGTCCCTGACAGGCTGCACAGCACTCTGCAACATGACTGACAGCTGCACACCATTAGCTTTTGGAAAGCAAAGGGTTAGTGGAGATGGAGGCTGGAGACTATTTATTTCAGAAAACATGTGGTTTAAAGGCTGCTTTAACATTTCTGAAAGTGGCATTTTGAATTCTGATGTATTATGAAGATCTTACCATTCCTAACCTCAAACCAAATTGAAGCTTTGAGGCTCTTTTGTCCCTTTTTTCCCCCCACCTGAAATGTTGAGAGGTTTCAATTTAAATCCTTTTTGTGTTTTGCCTGTAAGAATGTGGCACCCAGGTGTTTTCCCCTCTTTCAGGTCTCACTGCCCCTAGAAACAATTAGTGGATGTCACTGCTGAAAACTGGATCTGTTGGTTTGACATAACAAATGCTTTTCTGGTTTTACATTTATTTCTTTGGCAGTGGAATGGTGGGTCTGCATTCCAATGGAATTTAAACACAAACACATATTTATGTTAAAGAAGAGTTATAGGCATGTGGTAAATTCTTCCTCCACCCCCAGGCTCTTTGCTCTCCATGTCCAGAGTGATTCATAAAGCCTGGTTAACTTCTCCAGGGATTTCCCCTTGTAGGAAACTGGGGCACAGCAGTGGAACTGGTGCTCCCTGGATAGCCTGACCAGTCAGAGGGTTTGGAGCACAGCACTGGCTGAGCATTAATGGTTCTGTCCAAATTTGTCTTGTACAACAGATGCTCCCTGTCTGCTGAGCTAAAGCCTAGCAAAGGATACTCCTTAATATTGCCTTGTGGCTGTGTCTGGATGCCCATTTCCCAAAGGCAGCAGTTGTTTCTGTGGAGAAATTCCTTGTGAGGTTTCAAGGTTGTTTTTATTTAACTAGTATTATTATTTTCAGTGACAATTTCATAGTGAACATTCCCCAGTGGAGAGTGTGTGTTTGTTAATTGCCCATAGGAATGTGGCATTAATTCCTGGGTCTCCTGGGGTTTTTTGTTCAGGAAAATTAAGTCTATGAAATCTGTAGAGTCTCATCTTTTTAAAGACATAATGCAAACCAAAAAGGATGTGCTGTTCAGAGAAATGTTCATGGCTGTGCTCTTTTCTTTTCTAACTATTTGTGTCTTAATTCCCAGGCCATTCACAATTCCTCAGGTCTTGAGACCTAAAGGACAGGATGAAGGACAGGAGACAGAGGAAGAAGATGAAGAGGAGGAGGAGGAAGCTGAAAAGGAAAGAACAAAGGTGACATTTAGCTGGAGTTGCATTAAGATTCACCATATTTCTTCCCTGCTTCACCTGCAGGTGATGTGGAGCAGATTTCCTGTTTCAGAGAGGGAATCTTTGAGCAGCAGCAGGGTCTGAGCTGCTGTTCAGTGGCTGCTGATGTGTCCCCAAGGACAGCTCTCCACTGCTTCCTGGCCTGACTGTGCTGGAGCAGTGACACTTCCTCCATGGGGAGCTTTAATCTGCCTTATCCCAGAGACAGACAGTGCCAGCAGAGCACTCTGAGGGTCACTGACACTGTTCCCATGGATGTGCTGGGAGTAGCCATGGTTTGGGAAGATTTTCAGGCAGGTTTTGTACCAGGTGTTGTGTTTAGAGTCCCTGACACCAACCCCACTGGTCCAGAGGTAATGAACCAGGAATTGACTCTGTTCCCAACAGAATCCTCTCCTCTCCAGGCTTCTGCATGGTGCTGATGAGTTTCCTGACCTGTTCCCTTGCCTCCTTGTAGGACCACTTTGTGCAGGACCCGGCAGTCCTGCGGGAGAGGGCTGAAGCCAGGCGCCAGGCATTCCTTGCCAGGAAGGGGTAAGCAAGGATCTCCCTCTGGCTCTGCAGCTGTTTTGCTGCTGACTGGAATAGCAATTCCAGGGTGATCCTGCTCCTTGACATTCCTGTGGGCCACCCTTTACTTCCCTGCTGGTTGTTTTATCCCATTGAATAGGGGTAGGCATGGCATGGAATCATGGAGCGGTTTGGGTGGGAAGGGACCTTCAGGACCATCTTGTTCCACCTCCTGCCATGTCATGGACACCTGCCACTATCCCAGGTGGCTCCAAGCCCCTTCAAACCTGGCCTTAGACACTTCCAGGGATCCAGGGGCAGCCCCAGCTTCTCTGGGCACCCTGAGAACAATTCCTTCCCAGTACCCAATCTAAATCTCCCCTTTTTCAGCATAAAGCCATTCCCCCTTGTCCTGTCACTCCAAGCAGCAGAGCCCTGTGCAAGACAAAATCTTGGAGAGCACAACTTCCAGAGCTCCAACAGCTCCCACAAGGATTTTGGGACAGTTTTGTAGCTGTTTTCAGCTGATGGGCTCAGTGTGTGGAAGGACAGTGGTGGTGTGGCTGCTGCTGCAATGAGCCGAGGCCCGAGGCTGAAGCCCTCACACCCCGGTGTGGGTGGGGGTCTGGGATTTTGTCCCCAGAAGTGCAGTGTGCCTGTTGTGATGTCCTTTCTCTGTGTCCTCCAGGTACAAGCACGACAGCTCTGCCGTTGTTGGGAATGCCAAGGGCCACGGGCAGAACCGGGAGACGGTGCAGGAGCGGAGGAAGAAAGAAGCAAACAAAAGCACAAGAGCCAACCACAACCGCCGGGCCATGGCCGACAGGAAGCGCAGCAAGGGCATGATCCCTTCCTGAGCAGCTCCTGGGGCAGGGGCTGCACCGTCCCCAGGCCCTGCCCAGGAGAAGGCTCCGTTTCCTCAGCATTCCCTTTGCTCAGGGGATGGATGTTGTGTGCAATACCCAGCACCTGGGCTCACACGGAGCTGCATTCCCTGTGGGAGTTGCCCTGACTGTGTGCCAATGGCTGCACCAATACACGGGACAGGCTGCAGCAGCCATTCCTGCCCTTTTGTACTATTTATAATTCGCAGAGTTTTATTTTCATACTGGCTCCACGCGCCCTCCGTGCCCACCCTGGAGCGGGCAGCTCTGAGAGCACGGCTTCCATGGAAATGCCTTATCCTGAACTGGAGTTACAGGTTGTCCCAAGTTGGAAGGGACCCACAGGGATCACGAGTCCCACCCCTGTCCCTGCCCAGATCCCCCACCAACCCCACCCTGGGCATCCCTGGCAGCGCTGTTCAAACGCTCCTGGAGCTCTGGCAGCCTCGGGGCCGTGCCCATTCCCTGGGGAGCCTGGGCAGTGCCAGCACCTCTGGGGGAAGAACCTTGCCCTGATCTGCACCTAAACCTCCTGACACAGCTGCATGCTGGCAGAGAAAGGCTCAGGCTATTCCCACTGCCAACAGAGCCACAGGGGTTCAGGTGAGTAAGACCTTAGGGATTTCTGTCCCTTGAGTGAGGCCTGTGAAAACAGATGGTACAAATAAAAGTTGTAGATGTCTTAGCTGGTTTTTTTAAGGCCCTTACAGAAAGTATTGATGAACTTCCTGGTATCCAATTAGGCTTTGTTTGGTTAATTTACTGGTTAATGTGCCCTGACTGCCATCTCCCCACCATGCTGTATTTTCTTGCACTGCAACAGTGCCTGTGGCATTTTCCCACTGTGAGAAAATCAGCAATGGTTGTGTTCCAGGACAATCCCAGTGCTGCATGAGCAGTGGGGTGGTCAAGTGCTAGTAAGGTCGGCACCTTGGTGCCTGGTGTTGTGCAGAGGGCAGGAATGTGACTGGAGCTGCTGTGGGGCTGTTAGCAAAGCAGAAATGCAGAACAGCCACTGCCATAAAATGAGGGGAAGCCCTGAGTGCTCTGAGATTTTTCTTTGCCTATCAGTGCTGCCCAAACCTCCCAAGGACAGGCATGGAAAAAGGAATTACATTTACCAGCATCCCTAAATGCTGGATCCAGGGCACTCCCCTGCTGGGATAACACTGCTTTCCTGCAGCTCCCACTCTCTGCACCGGTGGCTTCAGCTCCTCCCTGCTGCCCACTGCAGTGCTGTCCCCTCATCCTGTATTCAGCTTTGGTTCCTGCTGCTCAGAGCCTGCAACTCTCTCTGAGCTGCTCAGCCTGAGGTGGAACCAGCAGCAGAGCACAGGGAGCCGGCACTCACTCGGATGGGATTGTCCAGGAAAGCTTAAACCTTTCTCTTAACCATCTCCGTAAAGCACAGCTGGAACTGGGACAGCTGTACTTGGGTTTGGCTCCAAAAACACAAGTGTTTAAGTGCTCTTTGTGTTCTCAGAGTAAATGTTTTACCCCCCTGGCAGTCATTTGCAAACACAACAAAGCTGCTGTGAGCACTGGCTCTAATGGGCTCTGCCTCAGCCTGTGCTGAAATTCCTCCTGATTAGTGAAAAGTGAGGGGAGAGAGAGAGATGGGGCTACTGGGCTGGGAAAGGGGAAAGAGAAGGAGTCACTCAGGCAGATCTCCCTACAGCCACCTGAGAGCTGAGGAATTAACTGAATCATTGCCCCAGGAAGTGCCCAAATATTCTCTCCCATGTTAAGTGTTTGACAAGGCCAGGCAGGGCTGGGCTCTCCAAGGAGAAGGCTCAGGGGGGAGGAACTGGACAATCTTTAAGGACCCTTCCCATTCAAACCTTTTCATGACTCCTCCTCCAAAGCTGCTGGGGTGAACTGAGTGATCCCTCTCCCTTCCCAGCACCTTCCCTTGAGTCAGTCGAGATGGAGGCAGGTGTGTGACACACAAACCTGACATCACTTCTCCTTGAGCTATGGCAGGAGCCATAAGGGACAGGAATAATGGGAAAGGGATCCCCATTCTCAGCCCAGCAGTGCAGAGCACATTCCTCTGGTAGGGCCAAGCTGGGAACTTCCATCACCACTGAGCTACAAAAAGGTGCTGTGAATGATTTTAAGCCCCTTTTCTGTGGGCAGACCAGAAGATGCAGACAGCTTCTCATCCTTCCCAGACAGAAGCCAAGGGCTGTCATGAACTACGGCTGTCTTAAGTGCTTTCAAATTTTTAAGATATTGTGATTCCTGACAGTGCCTTGAAACTCAGGAACAGGGCTGTTTTTAAAGATTCTCCACCTCCCAGAGAAAGAGGAGGCAGTGAACACACAGACAACAACACAGGACCAGGAGTTTTATTTGAACACAGTAAGTCGAGTACAGCAGCAGAGCTCCTTGAGTCCATCTGGCTTCACATCATATCAGTAGGTGGCTGATAACATCTGGCTCGGAGTTGTTCCAGCAGGAATCCATTCCCAGTTTCAGGAGGCTGAATCCATCCCTGCAGTGCCTGTTGCCACCCCAGGCTGGTCCCTGCTGCTGAGCTGCTCAGTTCTCATACTTGTGCTTGATGTGTTTCCACAGTTTCTGCATGCAAAACAAGCAAGGGGAAAAAAAAAAAAAATCAAGATGTTTTAGGCAGCTTCTCGATGGGGTTGGGATAACAGAATCCAAAATGCAAATTATCCTGCTTGGGAAGGTGCTGATGGAGTCCTGGAATGGATCTGGGGGACACAGGGATGCACATGGGGGCTCCTGGCTCCTAATCTGGACAGGGAGGCAGCTGCAGAGATTCCCCTTCCCCTGTTCAGCTCTGGATTAGTGGCCCAGAGACACTGCCTTGAATTCCCACCCAGATTGGAGAGGGCAGTTCTGCTCCTGCACACAAGAGATGCACAGAACAATCCTATTCATAGAATCATGGAATGGTTTGAGTTGGAAGGGATCTTAAAGCTCATCCAGTCCCACCCCTGCCATGGGCAGGGACACCTCCCACTGTGCCAGGTGGCTCCAAGTCTTGTCTACCTGGCCTTGGGCACTGCCAGGGATCCAGGGGCAGCCCCAGCTGCTCTGGGCACCCTGTGCCAGGGCCTGCCCACCCTGCCAGGGAACAATTCCTGCCCAATATCCCATCCATCCCTGCCCTCTGGCAGTGGGAAGAAGCCATTCCCTGTGTCCTGTCCCTTCAGGCCCTTGTCCAAAGTCCTTCTCTCATCTCCTGGAGCCTCTGTAGGCCCTGAATGTGGCTCAGGTCTCCTCCAAGCCTGCCTCGGTATCCTGCAGTCATTATCCCATCACCACTGTACTTAGGAACCTAAGGACGACTTGACCTCTTTCACCCAAGGTTTATGCTGGGCCACCCAAGGCCACCAGCCCTTATTATCTTCCTCCGCCAAGGGCAGATCGGCCAAGCAGGGGGACTATAGAGCACAGAAGCAGCTCCTTTTACCCCTCCCGCTCTCCACTGCCTTGCACGCCCCTTCCAAGCGGCCAGAGAGGCCCAAGGACACCCCGAAGCACCGAGTGCCACGACAGCCGCGGAGCCCCCTCGACGAGCCGCGCTAACCCTCAGCCAGTCCTGACCCTCAGCGAGTCCTGACCCTCACCGAGCCCCGCGACCGAGCCGCAGCCCGG